TCGTTTGTATCTGGTCCCATCCTGAATATTAGATTACAGATTATTCCTCATAAAGACGACCTCATGGGAGAGTGTCCATTGCCTATCGTCTTGCCTTCTATTCTACAGTCGCGGATACGCACCTTGCTCCATAGCTACGCTGGGCAGGTAAGTAGCCGTCCGTTTATTACCCTTCTCATTGTGGAATTCTATGCGAATTCCGTGCACACCCACTTCCCAATCTAAGTAGTCAACCCCGTCCTCGAAATGCCGCAAAATCGACACGCTTACGTGCAAGCGCGACAGCTCGTCTCGAGTTATGGGATTAAATCGAGAATCTTTGAATGCGTTTTAAAACATATAGAAACATGTATCAAAAGCGCGTGTAAACTATTTATACGCTATAACCTAATCTACAATGTGTTCTTTGCTTCCTGTTACTTATTTTTTTACTTGCCTTTTTTCTTCTTCGCGTTTCTTTCTTTTCACGTGTTTCTCATCTCTTCCGAAATTCAGCAACTCTTACCTCGAGCGACAGAAAACGAAGAAACTGGGTAAGATGCAAAAAGACAAGAAGTGATAAAAAGCAAGAAAAAGGAAACAAAGGCACACTGCAGATTGGACTTTACATAAACTATATACTAAATCTGACTTCTATTATAATATTATACGTTTATATATGTATATAATTGATATTATCTTTCATAATAAAATGTATTATGTTAAAATATTTTAGAGAACATCAATGTAGAAATATGGAAAAATACCGTTCGAATACCATCTCCAAGAAAGAGAAATCATAATAAAGTTGTTAATACTGAACATTAGAAAGAAACATACAATAACGAACCTGAAGTCATATCACAGGTAGAACACACTATGTATAATTTACTTTATAATAAACGTACATAAAAATGATAATAAACGTACATAAAAATGAATAAATATTCTTCTTTTACATCATTTATATTTCTTTCTAATGTTTAGTATTTAGAAATTTATTATGATTTCTCTTTCTTGGTAATGATATCCGAACGGTATTTTTCCATATTTCTACGTTGATGTTGTCTAAAAAATACATTTTATTATTGAAAGATAATGCAATAAATATGTATTTATTCCAATGTCAAAATATTACATACATGTAATCAAATATGCTAATAAGTGTAATAAATTTTTTTGGTATAATGTTATTACGAAATTGATTATCAAAACAATCGTTCTTCACGATATTAATTATTAATTAGAATAATAATTTGTAAACGTATACTTAATAGCCCAGTCAAATGGAAAGACATTTATCGATTTGGGAGAAATAATGGTTACAGGTCTGCAAATTTGGGAACAGGCTTATTTTGTGCTCCCTTTGAAGTGTTCAAAAGTCCTCACCTCCCCCCCCCCCCCCTCTGAGAGAAATGGGGGGAGAAAAAGTGTCCAAAAAATCAGTTTTTCGAAAATAATTCAAAAAGTATCAATTTTATCAAAAACAAAAACGTTAAGAAAGTTGTAGCTGACAAAATTCCGCACATTTTCTTTTTTTATTTGCCTCTCTACGACCAATAGGAGCCGAGATATATTTTTTTTAAATTTCGCCTTTTTTATGCAAAACGATTACGCGTACGCGCGTCGTGCGTTATACGCTTGTATCTCGAGAATAGCCATTCGTATCGTAAAATGCTTCAAATAAAAGTTGTAGGGGATTTAATTACGAAGAATTTCCTTTTTTTAAACATTTCCATACGATTAATATTGACGGAGATATGATCATTTAAACATTTTTATAAGACACAATCGCTGTACGTTTTGCACAATAAAATCAATAATAAGTCGAAAACTGTAGATTGTACGCACTTAGTGTATGTAATGAAAGTTGTACAGAATTAAATTTTGAATCAAAATGTACATATACAATATCGTTCTGATAATCAGTATAAGATGATGCGGGAAGAAATCATGAAAAATTACCATTTTCAAGCGTTTCCTTGAAAATAAGTATGTTTTCACTGCATTTAGACAGTACTGCGCCAAATGATTTTTTGAAGAGAATTAATTTATCTAAAAAATGAGCACCGGCTGAACTTTCTACGATGAATAGTTCGCGAGTTACAGCTGTTTGAAGGTGTAACTAAAAATTGACATTTTATTGAAAATTCCGATTTTCGCTTAAAAATTGCGCTTAAAATTTTTTTAAAAATCGGTTTTATCCTATTTTCAGTACTTTATATATATACAAAGGTAAAACAAGACAATAAATCGTTCACAAGGTGCAGTTTGTTGTAAAAATACATCATTAAAAACTGTACATTTTTAGAAAATTTGAGTCGAAATTATTTGTCAATTCCGTATTTCTTAAATATCTTCGTTTCTGTTCATTTTACGACAAAATTTGATAGAAACTAATTGAAAACTTGTTTAGTTTCTCTATACATATATTTCGATATTTTAATTTTATTATTTATATATATATATAATAACATTATATATATTATTAATAAATATTTTATATTATATTGAATAATATTTTATTTTTAATTATAAGATTTTAAACCGCGCGCGCGATGTATGTGATACACAATGCAACATTAGATATAGATAGATAGAGTGAGAGAATAGATAGAGTGATAGAGTGAGATAACACATAAAGTCAAAGGCCCTCTATTATCGAAAAACCGAGATGGACATTTCTCTGGTCGGTGACGTTGATGACGTATATAAAAAATTATTTAAACATATTAAACGGAGAGTACTCGGGTCGACACTTGCATATTTCTTCGGTACTCTCGTAGTACTGTCGGAAAAAGCCGAAAAGTCAGCCAGTACTAGCTGTTTAGGGGCACTTTACTTCTGACGTGCGGTGCCAACTCTCAGATTAAAAGATCGTTTATATATATTAAAATGGTCGGTAGTGTCACTAAAACTTATCAAGAACTATAGTACTCTTCGAATACTAAAAAATAGCGCAAAGAAAATGAATTTTTTTAAAACTTATGGTGCTAGCTCCATTTAAAAAATTTTTTTTTAATATTTACTGGCCGGTACTATTGTTACATTCTATCAGGAACTCTAGTACTCTTCAAGTACTGTAAGATTCCGTAAAAAAACATCGACTTTCTCGAACCTTGCGGTGCCACGGGAAGTTAGCACCTCAAATTTTCAAGTGCTATTTTTTTTTTAGGTAAATCAGCGGTACTGGTCCTAAAACCTATCAGGAACTATAGAACTATTGCGGGTGCCAATGGTACTTGTGTGAAAACTTGCGGTGCCAAAAGATGAGGTGCCAACTTCACACACGCATAAATTACTCCTCTTTTATGATATAAAGGATGATGTGAGTGAAAATTGAGGAATCTACCTGAAAAAGTAGCCTTACGATAAGCGTCAAATATCAAACTATCTTCATTAACTATAATCAAAATATCTAAAAAACTAATCTTTTCTTCATTGCCAATTTCCATAGTAAATTTAAGCCTTGTGTGTAATGAGTTAAAAATATTCAAAATGTCATCAGAAGGAGCTGCTAAAATAATATCATTAACATAGCAATAATAAAAATTGAGATGAAAAGGTAATAGACCAATAGCAGTTTCTTCGAAATCCTGCATAACCATATCTGCGACTATTGGTGATAATGGCGATCCCATAGGGGTACCAAAGATTTGCTTATAAACCTTTTTATTAAAAATGAAAAACGTTGAATTTAAAACTAGTTTGAAAGCAATCAAGAATTCATTTAGTGGAATATTTTTTTTTTTTTGGATATGGAATCCCATCTCTTTATAACACTATCAGATGCCAAGGCAATCTATAGGTATATTTGTGAAAAGGGAAACCACATCCAAGGAAACCAATACTGAATTAGTGTCTAATTTTTTATTTTTCAATTTATTTATCAAATCAGAACTGTTTTTAATGAAACTTGGAGCTATATGTATAGAGTCATTTATAATCTTATGTAAAAATAATGATAAATTGTATAAAGGGTTATTAATAGATGAAACTATAATTCTTAATGGGAAATTAATTTTGTGTATTTTAACCAATCCATATGCTCTATAGGAATATTACTATCTGTAGTAAGTAATCTCCCATAAGTAAATTTATCTATGTAACCAGATTTTTTCCATCTTATTAAAATATCACGCAAATCATTGGTGAGTTTCTTAATCGGATCTTTATTTATTATTTCATAGGTATTATTATCTGACAGCATAATTTCCATTTTTTCATTATAATCAGTTTCACATTGAGCTATTGTCACATTTCCCTTATCTGCTTTTGAAAATAAAATATCAGGGTGTTCTTTAATAAACTTTTTTGTAACTTTGATCCAATTAAGTAACATTCTATTATTAAAATCTAATTTTGGAAAACTATTTTGAAATTTTTCAAAAATTGGGACTGTATTGTTTCTTACAAAATTAACCATATTATTGGGACGCCCCTTTATAAGTTAATTTTATAAGTTAATGTTAATGTAAGTTTACAGGTTGTTTATGAATTGAATCTATTGCCGAGGAATGATTCTTTAATTTTATCGATTATGATACTTTCTTGTTGCTTTTGTCTTGCGGTTGTTTTCTGTCTTCTCGAGTTGTCTTTGTCTTTAGAGGTTTAACCTTTTTCGCTTGACTATGTACGATGATTAATAAAGTGCTTTTATTGTATTAATATAAAACCTGAATGATTTAAATATAGTAGATATCAAACAAATTTCCATTCCCTGCTACGTGGCACTATGAGCATGGAATAAACAGACAGAAAATCTGCATTATTTGCTACCTCGATAAATCTCCCTCTGATCGGGAATCATATATGTAATATGTTTTTAAGTGCACCAGTTTAGACGCGAAGGAGAGGATTTAAAAATAAAAGCTGAGCTGCGTTTCTCTGTGAAAACAAAAGATTCTATTTACACTATGTACATACAAGCTTTTACTTACACTAATTTTATAATTCTCACAAAATCGTACCTGTGAAAACAAAAGAAAACAACATTCAAAGCTTTTACCTTCGGACTGTTCTCTCTAACCTATTATTTATACGATACTCCGAATCACTCTGAACGGTACGATTTATACGAACTTACCGATAGCGCTATCGGTAAGTTCGAATCCTTGAGAAAAGTCTCGACTCCCGTCTAATTGAGTCGTGATTTTCGTTACATGTATAATAAAAACATGGATCGGGCTGAAGTTGGCATACGCAGCCTGACATACATTTAAGCATACGCGTGAGAACCACTGGCGGCGCAAGGCACGTTGGTGTTTTTTATTTTTTAAACAACGATAGTTACATTTAATATTGACCGGACAACTTTTCTTTTACTAAGCAGGTCAATATGTGCTCCACACAAAATTGAGTTGTTTGTCCCAACACGGCACCTCTTACTAATAACAACAAAATGAACCACCGATACACATCACTCCCGAATAAAACACTTTCTTTTATCGTTTTAATTTTGTAAATGTCATTTAATGTTGACCAGACAAATTTTATTTTACTTAGAAGGTCAATACGTGTTCAATAAAAAATCACAAAGTTCGTCCGATCATGCTACCTGTTAATAACGACAATCTTAACCGCCGTGGGCCTGAATAATCACGTTTCTTTATCGTTTAAATATTGTTAATGTCATTTAATGTTGACCAGACAAATTTTATTTCATTTAGGAGGTCAATACGTGTTTAATAAAAAATCACGAAGTTCGTCCGATCATGCTACCTGTTAATAACGACAATCTTAACCGCCGTGGGCCTGAATAATTACGTTTCTTTATCGTTTAAATATTGTTAATGTCATTTAATGTTAACCGGGCAAATTTTAATTTCATCAGCAGGTAAATACGTGATCAATAAAAAATCACGATGTTCGTCCGATCATACTACCTATTAATAATGACAAACTCTACCGCCGTAGGCCTCTCTATAATAACTTTTTTGTCAATTTAAATATAGTTAATGTTATTTAATGTTAAACGGATATATATTATTTCACTTTGCAGTTTAATATCTGTTTAATAAAAAATTGCGAAACTTGTTTGATCATGCTGTCTTTTGTTAATGACTACAAAATTACCAGCAGATGGTCATTTTCGACTGAACACTTGATGTGTTTATGTCACATTTTATGTAAACTCTTATTTGACTGATAGTAAATCATTGAGCACGTAACAGTAACTATCAGAGTCGGCTTCTTGTCAGTACTAGTTCGTTTCCATAACTTTTCACATTTTGGGTATGAGACTATAGTTAGCACGGCATGTTTTTTCGGGATCAGAGGTAGATGAAGGGTTGTGCCCCTCATATGCATCAAAAATTGATAATCGTCTTCAATGTTTTTTAGTTTTCTAAGAATTTTCTGAGAAAACTAGGAAAAGTTCAGTTTCGGTTGTATACAGAGGGTACTGTATACCCATGATCGGCACATTAACAAATATATAGTGAATATAAATATTAAGAATTCGTAAATGACTTTCATCATAAGGTTGACTGAGTGAATTATCCCACTTCTTTATCTTCTTTTTATTATTTATTTTGCAATAAATATATTTATAGCACTTGTGCAATTATTCTTTATATTTGTATACGTATATCGTCAGCAGCTCGTAGCGTTACCCAGGACCCAAGACGTGGACTTGGCTGCTAACGGATCCCTTTTTTTTGGTTTTTTGTTGTTTTTTATTTTTTTTTGTTATTTTGGTTTTTTGTCCATTTTTTTGTTATTTTTTGTTTTATTGTTTTTTTTGTCCTTTAATTGTTATTTTTTGTTTTATTTTTTTTATTTAATAAATTTATCACTTATTATTAACTAAAATGCTTTTTCTGCAAATAAATCTTGAAGCAAGGACATCTGAACGGACTTGCTATTGAAGACGGCCATCGATTACCATGAAATGTGTTGTAATTACTCTTTTTCTGCACTTATAAGTGTTTTTAATAAGGAACAATACTCAACGGTGGTGTTAAATCCGCACGGAGGTTTTCTTATGATTTCAATATTGTACTGTCGTTTTAATGATTTAAAATCATTTGTATTCGACAGCATTAATTCCCTGTTACGACATTCACCCCGATTTGTTGCGCGTCCGCTCGAAGATAGTAATATCTTCATAATTCCTATTCTTGCTAGGTTCATGTCATCTTCTGTAAACGCTGTGTCTTTGCATGTGCATATAATGTATGTAAATATGCATACACAGACACCGCAATTACCATGGGAACCAGTAGTACTATTCAATTGCGATGGAATATCGGTTGGGACACTTACGGACCATGTGTTCCATCGTGTTATTTTTTTCGCACGTGCCAAACGGTTCATTTCGATAATGGTGCACACTCCATCTATTAGACATTTCGGTGGATTTCCGTGGAGCGAATCCAAATACAGAAACCTGTGGTGACTGTGGATAACCACTAAAAGAGTCCAATGGGCTGCATAAAATGTTGGTATAAGCCATACATCATATTCCAACGCTTGAACTGTATCAAGCCATTTCTGAAATCCGGGACCGATGGAACCACTTAGTAACTTTGTGGAAAAGAACGAGTCAAACGTTAATGCAAAATTGAGTTCTTCCTTATTGGCATGATTTTGCATTATTAATAAAAACGCATTTATGATGTTATCATCTAACCATGCGTTCGGCAAAAGTGTGGTTAGTGATGATTTATCTACTAAAATCCCTCCAATGGTAATGCAAGAATTTTCAAAATTTTGAGGATAAGAGCCCATTCTATCAAAAATGTCAATATCAAGAATATATGCGGGATTGTAATGTCAAGAATTCGCATTAAAAAAACGATGCAATATATGCAGTTTGCAACTCTCAAAATAAAATTCGTAATATCCAAAAAGGTATAACTCAATCCTCCGCGGAGACCGCTTATGTATCAAACGGTTCGCAATTTTGCTTTCCAGAAATAATTTCAATATTAAAATAACTTTGGCATTATATTACGTTTGCAGTAACGAATTATATGGCGTTCAAATTACACATTTATATTATTACTACATATGGATTAGTTAATAATGTAAACTAATTACAAGTGCATTTATAATAATTAAATCTCCGTTGATAAAAAGGCTTACGGGGGAATGTAGCCGGAAAAATATTGTCCAAATAGTCAATTTCTAAAAATGGTCTAAAATTAAAGTTTAGTAGACAAACGTTATGCAAGATACAAAGGTCCATCTTTTTACCTTTGAGAACAATTTATAGGGCTTTTAGGTTGCTTCGTAAATAAAAAAAGTTTTTAAAAAGTAAAAATTTTTATATTTTTTCGCTTCGACTCGTGATTATTTTCACTATTTCAAAAATTTGATAATAAAACAAAATAAAGGTTACATATTAAACGATTCGAAGAGTAAATAAAGAAAGAAAATGTTAACATGTTTATGAACAAAAAACTTGGTAATTTCTTCTAAGTTATTATAAATATTCTGTACTACGAACTTTAAGGCTTTCTTTATCGATCAAATTTCAAGATTTAGAAAACATCCAGCGAGATGGATTTACTGACCAGTTTCATAAGAATCGAAGTAAAAAAAAAAAAGCGATTTATACGGACCTTATACACTGCAGCGGTTAAGTTTGTTGTTACTAGCAAGGGGTAGCATAGTCGGAGAAACCTTGGAGTTTGCAACGTCGAAGTGCAACGAAAAAAATTTTTTCATTTGGCAGATTGATTTTTTTTTTAAATTCTATATCATAAATAAACCTCATTCATGATAAAATAGTATATTTCGATACAAGACGCCAAAGGGGCGGTTTGTTCCATGACACGAGCAGGAGCAAACCACCCGTATGGGTGTGTGAAGTTGGCACCCCCATACTTCGAAATCGGAGTTCTGATAAGAGTTCTGGATTTTTCGGAACAAGAGGAAGAGTTTCTGATAATTTTTAGAAAGAGTTCCGTTTAGGAACACCAAAAAAACAGACTTTGAAAAATAGGGGTGCTAACTTCACACCCAACATTAGCACCGCATAGTTCTGAATAGCCTATTCGATGTATTTGAACGAGTACTAGAGTTCCTGATATAAAAAAATTATTTTTGATTTTTTTCAAAAAAATTAAAAAAATTAATATCAGATCAGTATAGTTCTGAATAGCGTATCAGATTCCTCTCGGCGAGATCTAGAGTTCCTGATAAATAAAAATTACTAAATCTCTATCATTGTTTAAAAAATTGTCAAAAAATAGACTTTGAAAACTGGGGGAGCCAACTTCACACTCAACACTAGCACCGAATAGTTCTGAATAGCCCATTCGAAGTCTTTTGATGAGCATTATAGTTCTTGATAAAAAACAAATTATTTATTCATAACTGAAAAAAATTTTTTTTAATTTAAAAAATAATAACAAATTTTTTTCGGAAATCCGGCGTTTCGACAAGAGTTCCGGTAGCCCCGCCAAGAGTTCTAACGATTATCCTTAATAATCGAAGCGCAAAAATCAATATCTAAAAAGATACAGTACTTTGCAATTTCAGCTTTTGAATTTTTCCACGACCGTACAAGCCAAAATTTTCTTTTCGAAATTCCGGCGTTCTGACCAGAGTTCTGATAGCCCCACCAAGAGTTCTAACGATTATCCTTAATAATCGAAGCGCACAAATCAATATCTAAAAAGATACACTCCTTTGAAATTTCAGCTTTTGAATTTTTCTACGTCCGTACAAGCCAAAATTTTCTTTTCGAAATTCCGGCGTTCTGACTAGAGTTCTGATAGCCCCGCCAAGAGTTCTAACGATTATCCTTAATAATCAAAGCGCAGAAATCAATATCTAAAAAGATACAGTATTTTGAAATTTCAGCTTTTGAATTTTTCCACGTTTGTACAAGCCAAATTTTTTTTCGAAATTCCGGCGTTCCGATCAGAGTTCTGACAGCCCCGCCAAGAGTTCTTACGATTATCCTTAATATTCGAAGCGCAGAAATCAATATCTAAAAAGATACACTCCTTTGAAATTTCAGCTTTTGAATTTTTCCACGTCCGTACAAGCCAAAATTTTCTTTTCGAAATTCCGGCGTTCTGACCAGAGTTCTGATAGCCCCGCCAAGAGTTCTAACGATTATCCTTAATAATCGAAGCGCTGAAATCATTATATTAAATCTTTACAGGGGTACTTATATGAGAGTGGAACCATCATGGCTGTATTTATTACTGTTTTCCATATTGAATTTTTACAATTAATTATTTAGAAAAGTATTTTATAAGTCACGAGTTCATATCGTAAATATTGAAGTTTGTTCTTGTTATTCCAGATCATAAATTCGAATTCATCATCGAATTCATGTGTGTATATGTGTAAGATGTCTTCCAACAAGCGACACAGATGACACTGTGTGACACAGTGTATTAGTACATCCTTGTTGTTCACCAGTGTTAAACAAGGATGAAATGATTACTGTGTTGTGCTGTGGCGCTTGTTGAAGGCACGTTAAGTAGATAAGTCCATGGCTTAGAAAAAAAGTAATTATGTCAATACGTGAATGAAATTTTAATTTTAGTTAAGTAACATTAGATTACTTTATTTTTTATTTTTCCAATATGTATTTTTAAGATTAAGGAGGAAGTATATACTTAGTCATATTAGAGGTATTTATTTTGAATATACATTACTATATGAGGTGTAACTATTTTATCTGGCGATACATAACTTTTTTTTTTTCTGAGATCATTGCATTCGCAAAACGAATATCCTGTATACGCTATACATGTATAGTGACCTATAACTGAAAACGATTTGCTTTCATTTCCTTTGTAATCTATAATTCCGCATATAACGTATAAGTTTTTTCTCCAAGTTTAATAATCTTTGTGAAAGTTTCTAATACTATATTTTTTCTGTGTTTGACAATATAACTTGGGTCCGTAATGATACTTGTATCAAGAAATATGTGAGCACCATAATCGTGTGACCTTTCTAAATTATTATCACACTTTTTGCATAACGCTTGGCTAACGTTTAAATTTTCAGTGTCGTCAATAGCTTCTTGTACATGATCAAATCCTTTCTTAAGAAGTATTTCTATGTTAATACATAATGTGGGTAAATTTCTGTGTTGCATGTAATTACTACAGCACTTCGTAAACCTAATCACACTTGGTAAGTCTGTAAATAACACTTGTATCAAATGATCAACATTACAACTAGCATCGACAAATTGCACGTATCTAGTACCAGAAATTTTACATAGATTTGTTTCTTGTAAGATTTCCATGCGAGCTTTATAATCATTTGCTATAACTTTTCCGCGGATTACTGAAAATCTTTTATAAAATTTTTATAAAATTTCTCTTTATCTATTGCATGTGCTAACAATTGTATTAACGAATCTATTGCACATGTATTTCTTATGCATATATGTTTATCTTTAACTTTAATGCTATCACATATGCTGTCATTTCTCAATATAGGTATCGATACAAATTTCTCTGACTGCACAAAATCCCAGTCTGGGAAAGGATCCATATAATTTGGACGTTTCGTTTTTTTTATTAGGTGTTATTTTCCCGCGCCAATTTTCGTTAATATTAAGGGGATTATATTTTGTATCTAATTCTGGTTTATTCGCATTTTTTTTCTAAACTATTATCATTTATCTTTTCCCTTTTTGTCGCATTATCTATTTTCATGCTCGTTCCTATGTTTTTACCTGCCTGTTCAATACTAATATCCTGTACACAATCACAATCCTTTCCGTTCGCCTCTTCTTCTACATTTTTATAACCTATCGCTTTATCCCTTTTTATACCGTCCTCTGTCATATTGTCTAAATTTTCCGTACTGTTACCTTTTACATTATTACAATCAAACTCCTTCGCGTCTTCTAAACTCTTATCGTCTATAGCTTTATGTATTTTTATACTTTCTTCAAGCAAGTTATCTACATTTTCGACATCTTGTACTCGTATATTATTACAAACATCATCTTTATTGAATGAAGAACAGACAAATCTGCTTTGTGATAGATTGATATTAATCGATACACTACTAATTTCGACTTTTTGGTTCACAGGTTCTTGTAAAAAAGTCTTTATTTCTTCGTTAATTGAAGCGATTTTCGAAAATGTAGATTTTGCTGAAGCTTCTTTCACACGTCCATCTAAATAGTCTACATGACGAAAAATAAATTTATCGGCTCTTAGAGACAGTTCGTTTCTAAAGGCTCGTGTTTTTATATTCGCGAATTCCGCTTCAACGCTAGAAGATGTAGCAACTCTATTTCCTATACCATAATATGATATCATAATACCGGTCCAAAGAGGAAGATAGTGCATTAGGCGTTTTATATTTTTGGCAGCTTCAGCATTATAATATGCATTTAATGTTTCGCCAGAAACACATTGAGATGCAATGCTTAAAGCTTCTTCGTAAATTTTGGTGGACCATTTCATCCATGCATCAGAACATTGCTGTTGAAATTTTTCTTTAAACTTATTTTCCTCAGTTTTCTTGGTTTCCGCTTTTTCAAGGTCATTATCTACAATTTCATCACTTGGCATTCCTTTAATAATAGAATTTATGTATTCGAAACGTAACTTGGACGGGAGTGATTTATCAGAGTCGGAAGTTAGTGTATGACTTAGTGCGACTATCAAAATTGATTCCAAAAAATATTCTAAGTTTTCAATTGATTGCATTTGATATGCATGACATATGGATCTTATATAAAATTGGCGCACTTTAGGAAATGGATGCTTTCTAATGCAGGTCCATCTGCATAC